CTCCATTAGGCCGAAACGGTACCGTCTGTAGTTAGATATCGCTCTATGGCCTTTAGGTCATATTGAGCGCTCTACAGGATGAGCCATGCCGCTTACGCATTGCGCACGCTCACTGCTTGCAGTTTGAGCGCTTTGGCATGGTTTTGATGTCCCACAATCGTGAGGCATCAAAGGTAACTATAAATAAGAGTTACTTTCATCCTGCTCATCAGCGCTACACTGATGAGGCCCATTAGGCCGAAACGGTACCGTCTGTAGTTAGATATCGCTCTATGGCCTTTAGGTCATATTGAGCGCTCTACAGGATGAGCCATGCCTCTTACGCATTGCGCACGCTCACTGCTTGCAGTTTGAGCGCTCTGGCATGGTTTTGATGTCCCACAATCGTGAGGCATCAAAGGTAACTATAAATAAGAGTTACTTTCATCCTGCTCATCAGCACTACACTGATGAGGCCCATTAGGCCGAAACGGTACCGTCTGTAGTTATATATATATATATATATATATATATATATATATATACTCAGTTGGATTACAAACCCTAAGAACAGCATTCAAATATTAATACCACCAAGTGAAGTGCAAGAAACCAGATTATTGAAGTCCACCTTATCACAACTCGCACAACCGATCACCTATATATACATGAACTTACGGTTACAGCTCAACAGCTGGCCTCTGTATCTCAGTTGGTTACAGTGCTGCACTGGAATCGCAGGACCATAGGTTCAATTCCCACCAGAGGACCTTGTGCTGCATTTTTCGCAGTCGTTCCTGGTCAGGTCTTAAAATGTATATATATACTCACTTGGATTACAAACCCTAAGAACAGCATTCAAATATTAATACCACCAAGTGAAGTGCAAGAAACCAGATCATTGAAGTCCACCTTATCACAACCCGCACACCCAATCACCTATATATACATGAACTTATGGTTACAGCTCAACAGCTGGCCTCTGTAGCTCAGTTGGTTACAGTGCTGCACCGGAATCGCAGGGCCGTAGGTTCAATTCCTACCAGAGGACCTTGTGCTGCATTTTTCGCAGTCGTTCCTGGTCAGGTCTTAAAATGTATATATATATATATATACTCACTTGGATTACAAACCCTAAGAACAGCATTCAAATATTAATACCACCAAGTGAAGTGCAAGAAACCAGATCATTGAAGTCCACCTTATAATTATTTAACCTTTTGTTCGGGTTGCAGCGTGGACGGTCATATATGGCAGCAATCATGTGTTTAACAAATCAAAAAATCATCCAGATGCTACATATGGTGAACAAAAAAGTTGTTTATTTTTCTCCTGATAAAGAAAATATAAAGTAGGTTGTGGAAAAGGCAGACGAGAAAGGACTTGATGCAACTTTGGCTGGATTATTGAAGATTTAAAAAAGAATTTGGAAGGATGTCCTAAGACAATAATATTTTGTACCTCGTTCAAAGAATGTGGGAAGATATATGACACTTTCTCAGATATACTACTACCTGATAGTTGTACAACATATTATGCTATGTACCATGCTAAAACTCCAGAGAGAATAAAGAAGCAGGTACTGTCTGATATTGTAGTTGATAGAAACCTACATATTGTTATTGCAACAAGTGCATTGGGAATGGGGATCAACATTCGAGATATTCAAAGAGTTATCCACTATGGTGTCCCACGTGATCAGAGTCCCATGTTCAGGCTGTCGGAAGAGGAGGAAGGAATGGCTGTAATGTTTTGGCAATATTGTGTTATAAAAATTACCACCTCCATCACTGTGATGAAAACATGAGAGCTTTTATCAAAAACTGTGTACAATGCCAGCATTTAGAAGTCCTGAAATACTTTAAAGAAAAGCAAAAAAAAAATCATTGCTATTGTTGATGCATAACTGTTGGGAAATCTGTTCTTCAGAGTGTGTATGTGGATTGTGTCCTGTAGATGTGCATAGAGGTACTGAGAATACAAATACACTGGCTCATCCATGTGATAATGCACTTATCATCGGTTCCCCAGGGGTTGACCCCCGGGACACCCAGGGGGCTTTTGTTAAGAGGACGGAACAAAACATTAGCAGAGCCCCCTGGGTACAGGGGAAAGTTTAATGACAAAAATCATGTTACACCCCCCGCCCCCGGGGCAAAAAAGCAAACATAACGTCCCTAACAAAAACATAATATTATATAACTGGTGAACTGGATACAAAATACAGCAGAAAAGTAAACAATTTTAAAATAGATATAAAACCATCCCAAATAACCATCCAAAAATGTCAGGTTCAAGCATGTAAAGCATGCATGCCTGAAAGAACTTTATTTGAGCATGTGCTGAATTATAAATAATTAGGGTAAGATGAAGTTTATACTTTTCACACTCAACGATTCTTAGATACCGCTGACCATATGTGACACAAAATCCTGCAGGTTTATCCCGGGGGTTAACTGTGCCTGTTACCAAACCCAAACAAGTCCCTCTTCCCTGAGGGACACTATTTTTTATAAAAGATAACAAATCCCCTCCTGTTCCCGGGGGTTCCCCCTGGGGTGTCCCTGGAGTCGACCTCCAGGGAGGCAGATGATAAGTGCATAACAGAAAAGAACTGTCATCAACACAATGTGTCTCTAGTGAAGAAAGACAAACATTTGTCGATGTATTAAAAGATATTCAACAAGGTGGAAATACTGCAGTATTTGGTACATTTCTGAAAAATATGCTTTAAGACAGTTTCATCAATGAATTGGGCAATGATTTGGAACACCTGTTCAGTGTCGAATACGTAACAGGGAATGTTCCCATTTTAGACAACAGTGGCATGTGAAATTTTAAATGTTGTCAATGATATATTCCAGAACATCGATGAGGCATCTTCAGAAGAACATCACTTCAACTGGATAAGAGATGACTTTTACTTTTCTGAAGTAGCAGATAGTTATGATAGTGAAGAATCTGACAACTAAGAACATAATTATATCTATATTAACCAGTGTGCAGCATGAACTATTCAGTAATTTCTGAAAATTACAGATCTTGTTGTGCAAGTGTAAATGTTGCATTATTTGCTTTTGAAAACCTTATGAGGTAGATAATATAGATGACTGTCATAATATGGTTATTACACTAAGTATTTTGAGCAAGATTTCGTTGGTAGGGATGCAACTACCAGAAAAATTAGGAGAATTTGACGTGTTAAGCGAAAGCCTTTGCCGGTTAGTAACTCCAGACGACGGACCTTTGCTCAAAATGTCTAAATTCTCTTTATATTTTTCAGAAAACTAAAGCTTGTTCATATTTTTGGCACAGACAGTTCAAGATTATACTGTATATGATACATATTACATTAACCCTTTAAATGGCAATGCACCTGATGAGCCCTACTTTACTATTTTACTCTGTCTAAAGCCAGACAATTTCCTCGTCTCTGGCATTCCATCACCGCCAAAAATCAATGTTTACTAATCGACAACCAATGTTGCTACTCAACAATCAATATTGGGCATCAACATTCAAATCCACTCAACTTTCAACAGCATACATTCCTACTATTGTAATTTCAGAACTCAACATCTAACTTTAAAGCGCACAACAATGAATATTGAAAAACTTCAACATTACAACAACAAATTTTTGTTCTTTGAAATGTTGAATGTTGATGCTTGTAATATTGATGTTTGCAATCTTGATGCTTGAAATGTTGATGTTTGTGAAATGTTGATGTTTGTAATGTCGATGGTTGTAAAATGTTGATGGTTGTAAAATGTTGATGGTTGTAAAATGTTGATGTTTGCAACATTGATGTTTGTAAAATGCTGATGTTTGTAAAATGTTGATGTTTGTAAAATGTTTCGATGCTTGCAATGTTGATACTTGGCCAATGTGTACCAAAGCAGCCAACACGTATCAGGTTTCAAAATGCTGGAGTTGACTATCACTACAGTAGTATCATTTATAAAAGAAATAGCAGATGCAATAGAAGCGATATTGATTTGCTTGGACTATATAAGCAGGATGCTTGTTACCAGGGGCAGATCTAGGGGTTGTCAAATAAGTCACACGACTAATGTAAAAATTGCGCAAAGAATTAATATTCATAAAATTGTCCATTACTCCAGTTTTAACCCTTCCTGCAGTGACAGCAAATGTAATTAATATTCACAATAGTCCAGTTATTGAGTTTCATTCAGTGGCTGTTAGCTCAGTGGCCCTTGACTCACTTGAGGCAGATTCTAGCCATTTGATTGGTCGAGAATGGTTACGTCATCTATGAGGTATCTGATTGGCTGGTTGAAGGGGAATTTTCTTCTCTCATTGGTTCAATGTTTTTGCCTCATCTTCGTGGGGGTCTGCCTTATTTGCACAATATTTGAACTTCTGATTGGTTGAAAAAGACGAAATTACCTTCTGTGATTGGCTCATTTTCCCCCTCATTTGATTCATTTGCAAGCATGGGGTATGTAGCAGTCAGCAACATAATAAAGTCTTTCACTCTTTCTGTTTGCCTCTTGCTCAAAATGAATTGTTTAATTCAAATTGCGAAGTGCTATTCAGTTTACACTGCTCAATACTCATTACGACAATGTATAATTACGAGACTGTCCAGTCTGCTTTTTGTAGACAATGATCTTGAGTCTTTTAGGAAGGTGAACGAATATATGTTGAAGCAAATCGGTGCTTCAAATACAAATCGTTTCTTTGCATTTTCAAAATGGCGAAATTCAACAGAAAAAATGTTGTTCTTATCCGGAGCATGTTTGAACGTGCAAAGAAACGACGAAGAATGATAGAATCAGCTCTACACACCCTTCTGATTAGGAGAATTCGAGTTCTTCAAGTATCAATGTTTGTGGTGCTTATTCTCTTGTCTGGTAAGAATACTTTTTCCCCATTACCTCGTTCATGTTGTCGACTTGCACGAAATTCTGGCTGGTGGAATCTCGTTTGGCGTACGTATTCAGCTGCAAGGTTTAAAAAGACATTCAGAGTCTCTTGTGAAACATTTTCATTTATTCTTAGTCGCATAAGACATGTACTCGACCGCAAAAGCATCGTCGAAGTGCCCATTTGTCCCGAATTAAGACTTGCTGTTTGCCTATATCGTCTTGGAAGAGGCTCATTATTATACTATTGCGGAGATGACAGGTCTTGGAGTATCAACTGTCTGCACCATAATGGAGGAGGTTTGTGAAGCTATTGTTAACCCATTAAGCGCCAGCGCTCTCCCCTTGACGAGTAAAATCGTCTGGCGTTAGACAGAGTAAAATACTCTGGCGTTAGACAGAGTAAAATACTCTGTCTAACGCCAGAGTAAAATACTCTGGCGTTAGACAGAGTAAAATACTAAAGTAGGATGCATCAGGGTGCAATGCGAGTCAATGGGTTAACTAGACACATGGGCAGATAGGCCAGTTAACAGAGTAAAATACTAAAGTAGGATGCATCAGGGTGCAATGCGAGTCAATGGGTTAACTAGACACATGGGCAGATAGGCCAGTTAACCCATTACGCGCCAGCGCTCTCCCCTTGACGAGTAAAATACTCTGGCGTTAGACAGAGTAAAATACTAAAGTAGGGTGCATCAGGGTAAAATGCGACTCAATGGGTTAAACATCTTTGGAAGAAGAGTGTTGACAAGTTCATGCCACATTCAGAACAAGAATTCAAGAACAAAATCATTGACATGGAAGAAATGTGGCAGTTTCCCTGCCGTTGGGCAACGCTTGATGGCTGCCACATTCCAATAAAATGTCCTCCTGGTGGTCCGGAATCAAGCAAGGAATATCATAATTTTAAAAACTTCTCAGTTGTACTCATGGCTATGGTTGACTCTCAATATCAGTTCATTTGGGGAAGTTGCGGTTACCCTGGTAACTCGCATGATTCTGTAATTTTTCAGTCAGCTGACCTATGGGCCAAAAATTCAAGAGGGAAACTGCTTACCAAGAGTTGGGAAACAGGTTGGTAATCAGACCATTCCTCCACTTGTGGTTGCTGATTCTGCCTTTCCTTTCACAACTTGGTTGATGAAGCCTTTTACTGATGCAGTTCTCTCAGAGAAGCAAAGGTATTTTAATTACAGACTCAGCCGTGCAAGAATGGTAACAGAGGGTGCATATGGCCAGCTGAAAGGTAGATGGCATGTGTTGCTAAGGAAATGTGAAAGCAGCAGTGAGAAGGTACGAATTAATGTTCTTGCCTGTATGGTTCTTCATAACATCTGCCTTACCCAAAAGGACACTATCCCAAAAAAATTGGATCTTTCAGTTGATCCTAGTACCAATGAGAAATGAGATAGGGAAACAGTCGGAGAATTGCTACAGATGACGGCTTGTCGAAAAGTTAAAGACACTTCAAAAGAAGCCGGGAAAATTAGAAGTGCTCTTGTTGAAAAGCTGTGGTTGGAAAAAGAGACGGGGGAAGTATGGTAGTGTATATGACAGTGCCGCCAGCGTAGTTAGTGCTTGAAATAGTAGAGATTTTTGTAAAGGCTTGTACACTCCTGCAGGTTAAGCTATGACATTTTAAGTTTTTAACACTTCTAAATCCATCTAAATATATGCTAAGGACTTTTTAAGTTATTAGAAATATTGTGACTGAAAACAATGAGCAGTCTGCCATCTTTGATTAATTTGTACCTCATCAACAAATATGCTTGTAGTGACATAAAAAGCAGGGTTAGCCCCACACGAAACTACTCTTGGTTGAAAAAATAACCATTAGGCTCATAAAGCTGTTTAACCCATTGATTTGCATTGCACCCTGATGCACCCTATTTTAGTATTTTACTCTGTCTAACGCCAGATGATTTTACTTGTCAAGGGGAGAGTGCTGGCACTTAATGGGGGTTAATGCAACATGGCAGAAAACTACTTATTTAATCCATTGAGCACCATCACTCTCCCCTTGATGAGTAAAATCGTTTGGCATTAGACAGATCAAAACAATAAAGTAGAGAGCATTGGGGTGCAATGCAACTTAATGTTAAGGCTATTTCAGTATACATAGGTTATTCAATGTTTGTATATAAATTTACAGTCCATAATTTCCATCTACAAGACCCTTCAACCATTATCATTCAATCAAATGAGATGCAAACAAATTACAAAATCTCTAAGTATTCAGGAAAAATACAAGAACCTAGTCTGTTGTAATTTTCTGTAAATTGTTCTGTTTTTCTGTAGCGATTGCCAAATTATATCAACAAATATGGCGACAAAATTTCGTTTTCTTTGTTTTTATTTGATCATTTCTGGTGAAGGATGCATTTTTCATTATATTCGCTGCATTCTAACACATGAAACCTGCAAAATTTGAATTTTATCGCCGTATTTGTCTATAAATCGGTAACCGTTACAGTATCCCGGTAATACAGAATAAATTACAGAAAATGTCAACACATTACAGAAGCTGGAAGGTTCTTGTATTTTGACTGTAAACAATATTTGAAAAGCTGTAAAAAGTTTTCCACACATTGTTTTACAAGTTCTTTATAATAAGGCAAACTTACAATTCTGAAACAATACGTATCTGGAAGTAATTTCTTCTGCCAAACTCGTTTGTTGAAAGTGTTTTTTTCTTCATATTTTTGGGAAAAAAAAGATATTCGGCCAAACACATTAAATGTCAGACATTATTTCAAATGCTGATATCAAAAGCATATTGCAGGTATATTTTGTACTCCATCATCATAGTTCCAACAAGTGACTGAACAAGGACATATTAGTTTCTTTCAACTATGTCTTTTAATTAATAGCAAAATAATGTACTTGTGTAATTGATTAGTTGCAGATGTTACCAGGAACAATTAATCTCCAAGGGCAAGGTCCACTACCCACTCGATATATTATATACCTGTCTGTGAGATATTTATATTCACTTCAGTTCACTTTTTCATTTACTTTGTGGACAGGAGGGGAGTTGTCAAACAATTAACAAAACTTATAAAAACCCAACTAACCAACTTGAAAACAACAACCCAACTTATTACACCAGTTTTACATGATATGCGACCACCTTGTGCAAAAACATTGATAGAGGTAGTTGTTTTTGACATTTAGGCATAGTCTCTAATTCAATATCAGAAACGTCAACAACTGAACAAAGCCAGCCAAATTGAACAGTAATTTAATGTGATGAGTCATCGGGTATAATTATCAGAATAGTAAGCCATGATCCAAGTGTAGGGGTTTTTTGACGTTTCTGCCATATTGAATTAATGGCCTAAATGTAAAAAAAACAACTATTGAGGTGGTTGTGTATCACATAAAACTGCTGTAACTACAATGGTATGTGGAACAAACCAACTTATAAACAACTCATCTACAATGTGTGGTAATGTTTGCCAACAATATCAGAAGAACTAGTATCAATTCTTGAGTACGTTTGTGTGGGTGTAGCAAAACCCTCTGTTGAAATAGGATGAGCTTGAAATGATGGCTGATGGTGTTGGAAATTAAGAGCATTCGGATGGTATTGTTGTGGCCATGAATGCATTTGATTTGCTCTTTCTGCATGTTGGTTAGGAGGAGCTGTGGCATTAAGCAACAACTTTGTCATCTCTAGTTCATGCTTTCTTCATTTTTCAGCTTCATCCTGCATAAAACGCATTAGTTCTTTTGAAGGATCATTCTGAACCATGGTCTTGAGAAGTTCAACAGCTTCACCAACATGATCTTTGGCAGATAGTTTCTTTTTTTTCAATGGAACAAATGTTTTTTCTCCATTTTCTGAATCTGGTCGGTCATCTTCCTCAGGATCATTCAACGAATTGCTACTTGTATTACAGGTACTAGTACTACTAGTGCAGGAGGGCTCCACAGCCATCTCTGGCTGACATGAATCTCTACACTGGATGAGTGGAAAAAGCTGCTTAACCCATTGAGTGGCAATGCACCCTGATGCACCTACTTTAGTATTTTACTCTGTCTAATGCCAGATGATTTTACTCGTCAAGAGGAGAGCACTGGCGCTTAATGGGTTAACTGGCCCATCTGCCCACGTGTGTAGTCAACCCAACTCTGTCTAACACTAGCGTATTTTACTCTGTCTAATGCCAGACGATTTTACTCGTCAAGGGGAGAGCGCTGGCGCTTAATGGGTTAAACCAGGTGCCATAACCTTTACCTTCCTGGAACCGTTTTATCCCAGTGGCAGTTTTAATTGTCATTGATGCATGCTTGCATTCACTTGTTACACATTTGTACAATTGTGAAATTTATTGTTCATTTCTTTCATCACATCTTCATCAATTTATTGTTCTTAGTTCAGTTAAGATTTTTTATAAATAATGCCATGCTTTGATTGGGTCATTCCAGAAACATCCATACCACCCCCACAGAGGAAATAGGAAGTTAACCCCCCTATCCCCTTCGGATGTCCTAATACATTTACTATTATCAGAAACAATTTTTTCTCCCTTCCCCCTCCGGAAGGCAGAAATTTCCTCCATGGGGGGGGGGGAGTATGGACCTTTTATGGAACGACCCATTGCTATTTTTTGCCTGGACAAAATATACGATCAAGTTAGAATTTGGTCAGAAAAACTGCAATATAATATTGATAATATTAATTTAATTCTACTCTAGAACTGTGTCCATATTACTGAATAATTTTGCAGATAAATGTCCTCAGTATTTTTAACTTGCCGCATTTTGTCCTCCATATAGTTGGGAGATTTGGCTTCGACTATGGTCTCAGCAATTTGGGGAATGCACAAGGTAGTAATGAAATTCGATCATGAAATTGAATACCGTAAACTTCCAAATATAAGCCATGAGCTTATAGTTGTTTGTAAGCATTTTTGGATTGGCTTACACATCGTGGGGGGCTTATATACAGATGTATAATATATTAAATATACGGATGTATAATATAGCATTTATTGTACATGTAAACTATACAATGAATGAAAAGAAATATAAAAATACAGTATATAGATTATATGGTGGCCTTATACATGGGGGGGAGGGTTGCTTATATTTGTGGCAGCTTATATTGGGGAGGGGGGCTTTAATGTATTCAGAGGTTTATGGTATACACATGAATGCCATGCACACAAGCCATGTAAAAAATATGTCAAAATGTACAAAAACTTAAAAATTGTACTCAAATCTAGCTATTTTCGCTTTAGTTTATTATTTGTTCATTCATCGTGCATTTTTTGGTTGATTGCTATGATTGCTTAATGTTTTTCGCACAAAAAGAAAAAAAAGAAAAACAGATATAAAAACAGACCTGTTTGTTTCTGGTAACGGCGATGGCGTTAAACGTTCACGCTCTTCATCAAGGGACTCAACAACGTCGGAATTAACTGTGGTTGGTGAATATGTCAATTGACAGTTGTTGCAATATCCAACTGATTCCCCTGCTTTCCATCCAGTAGCTCCTTCGTCTTCTTCGAACATAGTACATCGGTTACATGCAGGTAACTGACAATGCAGACATTTGTATTTAGAAATTTTCTAACAAAACCCACATTTCATACCTCTCGTTCGGGCGTCCATGTTTTATTTGCTCGAAGTGCAGTTGGCGCCAAAAATAGCATATGATTGCACGGGATAGAAGGGTGTATAATGGAACTTTTCGTAGCCAAATGCATTGGATTCAGCACATGAAAAGTTCGCCATTTGAATCAATGTCGTGTCTTGTCGAACTAAATGCATTAGGCACGACTGACTTTGTCAAAATTAATATTGATGTCGAACTTAATAAAAATCGTCGAACTTAATTGATTCAAATGTCGTGCTTATCATGTGCTAAACACTTCGAATTAGGTTCGGCACATGATAAGCACGACGTTTGAAACAGGCCTTAGACGCTATCTATGACACCAAATCCAGTCTGGCTAGAAATTTTGCTGCAGAGATTTTTATACCAGCATTTGCTCGTCAACAACAGAAGAAGTGTACAGCAATAAGGTAAGGTGATTATATGAATGAATGAATGCATGAATGAATGAAAAACTTTATTTTACGAGGGTAGCACATAATAGTGAATTCACACTAACAAACCTGTGGCCCTCAGATGTATATATTGGTTCTTAGTAAGCGTTTTATCATGCTAGTAAAAGCTGCTTGGGGGCCTTGGCTGCTTGTATAAATTTGCATTTTTCTGTGCGATTGGTCAAGACCGTTCAAAGGTTATTTATATCATTATATCGTCCCAACAAGGCACAAGCCATGGGTCGCTTTTATATTCCTAATAATCGTTCATATTAGTATTGTTTGTATCGGGTAAGGTTTTATTAATGTATATTTTGTTTGCCTGAACTGATAATATTTGTAATAAGAGAATTACAGCACATGCTGCATGGTCTGGTGTTTATGATGTTTTGTAATACGATATCTTGAATTCATATAAACATATTTTTACCTTCCTGTCAGCAAAACATGAATTATATCTGCTAGAATTTTATGTGAACAATTTATATTTATAGTAATACACTTTAATATTTAACTTATTAATTTATACATTATTTTTTGTTTCTTCAATTCACTTAGGTCTGAAGCTTCTGGCAATTGTTTGTATAGTTCTGAGTCTCTGGTACTGGTAGGTGATAACAGTTTAGTGCAAACTTTGAGGATGTTAACCTCAGTTGAGCTTTTTATGAATGCGAATTTTTATTCTGAACAACCTTGCTTTTTGTCTGCTGTGAACGAACATAGCGAATATTTTAGGAATTCTATTAACAATCTTTTACCCTTGTCTGTGGCTATAGAGTGTTTAGATACAGATTCAACCAAGGATAACTTGGTATTGGTAAAGCTATTTTAAATTGTGGTGATAAGAAATGTGGTCATCATTTTTATGTATTCTAAGTCTTTTGTCTGTTTTACATAGAAATATACATACTTGTTACCCTGATGCTGGTGCGGATAGATATAAATTATTTTTAATAGGCTAGTTCAGCCACGCCAGAATCCTCAGAAAGGTCTAGATGATATTCATATTTTATTTTGCCATGAAGGTGTTATTAAACCTGGAGAAGCCTTCCAGCCTAATCATTTTGTACCTTTTCTTTTTCATTCACACAAACATAAACGGAAATTTTCTGCTGATTCATAGATTTCAACAGTAACAAAGAAGCAGAAAATGGCCTCTATTTTTCCCAAACAACCAATAACCAAGAAGCAAAAACTGACCCCTATTTTGCCAACGAAAGCATCAAATAAAGCAGATGCTAATATATTTAATTTTTTCACCATAGCAGACAAGCCCACTGTTGTTGTCAATCCTGCATGCCAGAAGGCCCCTAATGAGACTTCTTTTCTGCCACACAACTTGATGCTCATAAATTAGATGAGTTTGCAACACCTAGCTCCACTTCTCAACATTTGTCAACTAAAACACAACAAATACTACTTCTCTTCCAGCAACATGTTGCATTGATGTTGCATTGTATAGGGAGAAGGTTAAAGGTATGGATACCTCTGAAATTTGTAAGCCAGACAAGCATTACTCTTTTCCTAAGACCAATGGCAGAAGTTTTAGATATAATTGGTTCAGCTTATATTCCTGGCTTTGTTATTCACCTTCCAAAGATGGTGGGTACTGTTTATCATATGTGCTATCATATCGAGATTGTTTTCCTGGTAAGGCCGGGAAAATCCAGAAATTATCTTCTGAACCCTTGACCTATTGGAACAATGCTACCTTTACTTTCAAATGCCATGCTGGGCATTGGACAGGGGGGAATGGGATTGCATGCTTTTACATTTCCAATTTTAACATCTTTGCTTGCTCAAATGTCAGGGACTGCACAACCCATTGAAGTAATTGTAGATACTAACCTTAAAAAAGAGGTTGAGGAAAATAGGAGCAAACTAGCTACAATTATCGATACAGTTCTTTTTTGTGGCCGCCTTGGTTTGCCGTTGCGTGGGCATCGTGATGATGCTAAATATCACCTGGAAGTGGGATGCTAAATAGCACCTGGAAGTTGGTAATTTTGTTGCATCACTTAATTTTAAGAGTTCGAGCAGGGGATAAAATTTTAGAAGACCATTTGAAAACTTGTGGTAAGAACAGAAGTTACCTTTCAAAGACAAGTCAGAATAAGATAGTTAATTGTTGTGGTGAGGTGATCAGTGAAAAGATCATAAACAATATAAAGGACAACATAAACAATTACTATTATTGCTGACGAGGCTGCAGATTCTTCCCATAGAGAGCAAATGTCCCTTGTTTTACGTTTTGTTGATACTGATATGAATATCAGAGAAGAATTTATTGTGTTTCTACACTGGAAATGGGGATTAAGTGGTGCCCAACTTGCTAAACTTGTATTAGAAGCTTTAAATGACTTAACTTTATCTATTGAAGATTGTAGGGGACAAGGTTATGATGGTGCAAGTTCTGTTGCAGGGCACATCAATGGATTGTCTGCACATATTTTAAGGCTAAACCAGAAAGCCCTTTATACACATTGTTACAGTCATAGACTAAATTTAACTGTTTCTGACTGTTTAAATATAGTAGAGGTAAACACCATGCTCAAACATGTAAACAAGGTTTCTTATTTCATCAACCATAGCTCAGACACGTAATATGCCTTTTGAAGAAATCGTAAAGACCCATAGTTCTGATACAGAAAGCAGAAAAACGAAGTTGGGTGATGTTTGTCGAACTAGATGGGTTGAGCATATTGAAGGTTTGGATACATTCACAGAGTTTTTTGCCCCATTATACTATACAGTTGAAGCTATGAAAACTAACTCGGCAGGTGAGTATAATCCATCTCTTTCTAGTGATGCATCCTCCCATCAAACACATATTTTAAAGTTTGAATTTGTTACAGCTTTAATTATTACTAGACATATTCTTGATGCCACTCTTGATGTTACAAAATTATTACAAGGGAAAACTGTAGATATAATGGATGGTATTCATCTGATTAATAGTTTAAAAGATAATATAATTTTAATGAGGAATTCTGTTGATAGATACCATAATATCTGGTATGAAGAAGTTTTGCAATTGGTAATTAAAGTTGGTCTTGAAGAGTCAAAACCACGGGACAGTGGGGAGACAAACTGCTAGGGCAAACCACCCATTCTAGACCATTTCTGAGTATTACAAACGAACCATTACCATCCCGTTTATTGACCATCTTCATTCATCTCTACAAGCACGGTTTGATATTCATAGTGTTAATGTTTACAAAGGGTTAGAATTGACTTGGGATGGTGTGAAGGTCACATCCATGAAATGTCCCATATTGTCACCCATTTCTAACCAAACTCCTTTTTCTTCATTCAAAAGGTCTGAAAGGGGGTATCTGGCACCATAACCAGATCAATATACATAGTTAGGTTAGTAATAGCATGAGTAAGGGAGGGGGATTAAAGGGTTAGAAGTGACTTGGGATGGTGTTAAGATCACATCCATGAAATGTCCCATATTGTCACCCATTTCTAACCCAACTCTTTTTGCTTCTTTCAAAATGTGTGAAGGCGGGTATCTGGCGCCATAACCAGATCGCTTGTTCAGCCTTGGTTTTGGTTTATGCACGAATTTGGGCCTATCTTGTCACATGTGTATTATATTTTTCCCACACAATTGAGCATATATTTTCCCCGCACAATTGAGCATTTCTTCAAGTTAAGGATGGATAACTCCGCCACAAACTTGTTATTGGTTATTTGAGCAAAATACAATACACATGTGACAACATAGGACCAAATTTTTGCATAAAGCTGGACAATAACATAGTTAATGAGTTATATTGTACTTTCAACAAGTCTCCAAACCATCTATTAAAATAACTGTGGTATCATGCTCCATTGACTTACACACAAGGTCACAGAAGGCCAAAAATTGATATTTCAAGAGACCAGTTGGCATTTTTAGTAGATCAGGGATTTACTGTGCAGGAAATGAGCTGTGTTTTGGGTGTAGGCAGGGGCGTAGGAAGCATCCTAAGACTGGGGGGGCACCGGCTTTCAAGGGCGCTTTTGGATAATAAAAGGGGCACCTAAATTATACAAGAAAGATTGCTTAAGCTGGGACTTGCAAGGTCGCAAGGATAATAGTGTGGTTTGGTGTTTATGTAGTCTCTGTAAAGCAGATAGTGAATTAGTTGAAAACAAAAATCAACATTCACAAAATCATTTCAATTTTATAATAAATCTTCCATTAGCCCATCAGTTATTAATGCTAACAATACAGTATTATAATTTATGACTAATTAACTGTAACAATTCCTATTGTCTGTATATTGTTTGGACTCGCGTGTCCCGCGCGAAAACATAACACTTTCTCGTCTTTTCATTTTGTCAGTGAAACAGTGTACAATTTGAATGGACATTGACATTGTATAGCATACACATTAAAATTTCCCAAAATATTTTAATCGCCTGTCATTTTTCTGAACAAATTCTCTAGCAAGTTTGATGAGATCGATACTATCTGTTTTCTCCTTGTGAATGTTAAGCACCAGGAGATTATTATATCTTCTCTCTGACATCGTATTTCTAAGGTAACTTTTTATTTGTCGTTGTACTGAAAAGGATCTTTCAGCGGACGCTGCACTCATTGGGGCCAAAAGATATATTTGAATTAAATGCACAACACTTGGCAAGATTACTCTATTTTAGCCATTGTTCGCCACTGAAATCACCGTGTCTAGTGATGTTGCTCGTTTAACGTCAGGCAAACATTGTCTCATTAAACTAGGTAGGAGTTTCAATTCAGCTGTGACTTGATCAAAATCAATTCTATTGCTGTACGTTTTCCTTAGAGTATCGTTAAATTCAAATGGCTCTCGGTTTGCAGCATTGAGGAAAGCGTCTTCAATTTGTCGAAGTGGTTCATATGATTTCTCATCGAATCTTCGATTCAACTCACTCAGGCAGGCATCGATCGCCTCAAAATACTGTGCGCGAAACATGGATTTCTCTGATTCGAAATGGTGCTGCTCGGCATCGCCATCATGCAAACGACGAGGTACTTTGTGTGGACGAGGGATGGTTGGCTCTTTTACCATGCTAAGGACTGCCGCCTTTTCAGATATTTGCTCAAAGAAAACGTCATAACCATCTCTTTGCTGTTGCAAATTGTCTTTTAAAGCCTGTACTCCTGCCATGACGGTCTGAGCTAGGATTCCTTTGGTTTGCATTGTGATTGAAAGTTGCTCTGAAACGCTGAAAATGTGAACCGCAAAATGTAGTCCAAAGAACGTCGCAAACTTGG